GCGGCCCGTCTTGCCGCTGCCTCCGATGTGCTGGAACTCACGGACGACAACTTCGAGAGTCGCGTCTCCGACACGGGCTCTGCGGGCCTCATGCTCGTCGAGTTCTTCGCCCCCTGGTGAGGCCACTCAGCCGGGGCGGGAGAGGGAGGGCCGGGCTGGGCCGGGGGCGAAGGCGCGGGAACGGTTGGGCCTGCGTAGCGCCGGCTCCCTCCATCATTCTCGCGGGCCCGGCTGCGGCCGGCAGATTTCCACCCCCGGGGAACCGAGCAGAGAACGGAGAAGTCGGTGCTGATCGCCTGGGAGCGAGACCCCTGAAGGAGAACACGGAGGCCCCTCTCACACAGGGCCACATCCTTACCTTGGTACTCTTGCGGCACTTCCTATTTGCAGAGGGTTTAACCCTCCCCTCCCCCGCTTTGATTGGTATCTTTACAGTTTCTGAGTCAGTGTTACTGTGTTTCATTCTATACACGAGGCATCCCAAGGCCTTATATTGAAAGCCAGCATTTCACGAAGTGCAGAGGCCCTGGGCTCCCGGGGTACTTCCTTCTTGCCCCACGCAGCCATTGGTTTCTAGCCAAGGTCACTCAGTGGCTGCAGAATGGTCATAAGTGCTTTCTTGAGGCAGGCCATTATTTTATCCATCGCATGGTGCACACATTTTCCGTTAAGCTGGTAACTTCTCAGCTCTAGGAGAATTCCTGTTAAAAAGAGTAGATGAACAAAGTAATTCCGTCAGAATCTGTCTAGATTGTCAGTTTTAATTAGGATTCCTGAAAAATGCCAAAGAAGACATCAATGAGAAAGTGTAAGTGTTGGAGTAATACTCCACTGAAGGGTGACTTAACTGAACAAGGGTATAAATTCCTTAGGGTAGGACTAACTGGAAATAAAAAGCTGGGGGTGGGGGCGGGGAGAGAGCGAATAGGATATCTGGCCCAGTAAACCTGGGTGTTTTTTTTTTTTTTTTCACCTCCAAATCCTTACCGCAGCAAACAATGACTGTCTTAAGTCGGGACAGCTCAGTATGACCATGCTAATTAGAGTACTTAATTTTTCTTATGCCACAGTGACCCTTAATTGAAAATTATGTTCAAAAGTATCAGTAAAAGAAAATTAGTGTATAACTTTCACTTCTATAGTGAACTTCTCACTCTGGTCTTCACTCTGCAGAGACTCAGCTGACTTGAGGGTTACATGAGAAGTCCTATAATGAAGACCACCTGAACCAGAAGGGTGTGCTTAGAGGCAGCAAATTTTGTTTTCATTTGGTGACTTGCGTCCAGGGCATTTGTGTGGCTGACCGACAGTCACATAATTGCAAATCATAGGTGGTCCTTATACATTTCTAAAACTCACATTCTCTTAGAAACAACTCTACCCAACTATATAACCATGCTGTTAACTTTGAGGGTGTGTTACTGTAAGTAGAATGGCTGTATGGAGTTGTATCAAAACTGTGTGGTGCCTCTGTGACTACAGGGTTCAACGTGAAGTGAATTGCAGTAGAATTGTGAGCTATTAGACTAGTTTAAAACAGATTTTTTTTTTTCCCAGTTGAAGGTGTTCTATTTTAAATTGTTTCATGTGCTTCCCTAAAAACTACATATCCCATCATGCACTAAACTATCCCCAAAACTGGGTGGATCTCTGCTGTGGTGTCTCCTTTTAATTGGCATGAAAGGTAAGGTCAGTTGCCACAGTGCTTGCAAGAAGGATCAGTTTTCTGAATGAGTAATTTGAAATCAAAGAAGTCTCCTGTTGATAATATCCTTATTTCTTCACATTCAACTTTTTATTTTTTAATATTTCAGCTGGAAATGTCTGACTGCTGTATTCTTTTGTACAGATCAGGAGTACTAGCTTACAAGTTAGGAACAGTAAGAGTTTAACAGCCTATTTTGAGCAAGTTATTTTCTCATTTGTTTTAGGGTATTTTTTCCTCTTTCATTTTACAAGTGAAAGTGAAAGATTTCTTTGCAACTGACTCTCTAGCCTAATTATTTCCATTGTGGAGTCTGTCATCTATGTAGTTCGTAAGAGTGAGACTATCTGAATTTCTCTGGGGAACAGAAGTATTTAAATATTTGTGATAATTTCTGAAAATTTATTGATCAGTGTTAAGTTTTAAAGTCTTCAGCATCTTCTTATGTTGTAGATTTGTGCCCTACCTTCTAGGACAGTAGTATTAAATAATAATATTTGATATACAGTGTTTACAGAGTATAGAAAAAGACCATGTGGATAGTATAAAATACAGTATTTAATATTTCTTATACATACTGATTCCTTTACTTGGAATTCCCATCTTCCTCCACCCCTGCAATCTTTACAGCAAGGTTTACCTCAAAAGTTACTTCTTCCTTCCCTAGACAACTGCCTGATTCCTCCCTCCTCTCTTCTGGGACCTAAGAATACTGTCTGTCACCCCTGCCAGACTGGTGTTCCTACAGGGAAAGGACTGTATCAATTTTTCTTCTATCAGAGCTTAAAGTAGCATGTGGCACATGGCAGGCATGTAGTAGTAATTGTTGGGTGAATGTATGTTGAGATTCATTATTAACTGCTAGGTGCCATCCCTGAAGATGAATGGGATTGTTTGTGTTTTAATACTATCTAGGAGTGGGTGAAAGAAGTAGTGATTAATCCTGATGATCACTTTCAAAATCCATCTAAATTCCGTTCCTTGTGAATTTAAAGAGGGCAGTCTCCTCCAGCCTCATTGGAACTCGTTAAACAGGTCCTCCCTTTGGACATTAGATGTTGTTACTGATATTAGCAGTGCTTAAGGCAGGGGTTTTCAGTCCCAGCCTTGCCATTTACACACACTCCCCCCATACCTCTGGTTATCTCCTGGATTCCTGAAGAAATCATTCAGTAAGTCCCAGGGTGGGGCCTAGGCATGCAATTTTTTTTTTAATGCTTAACATTTTTTATATGCATCTGTGTAGAGACCTACTGGTTTAGCCTAATTATTTTATACTATTTTTTTTTCTCTTCAGGTGTTTTAAGGTAGTTAAGGTGAAACTTCTTGTATCTGTTGCCTTGGCTTTCTTGACAATTGCTACATACCCGTTCAACAGAAATCTCTTAATACCCATAACGCAGTTGTCTCTTAACCAGAAAAAAGACCCTTCATAGTTCTCTAAATGCATCATTCTCAACAGTAACTTTACCTTTGCTCTACTATACCCCTTATCTAAAACACCTTACTGTGTCCTGTCTAAAGCCGTAAATCTTTTAGGCCCCAGTTCCAATTCTTACTCTCTGTAACACACATTCTTTTTAACCTCTGAACCCTTATTATGTTCCCAAAAGCCTGAATTCCTCAGCTAAATTGGTTATTTTATTAAATCATTTGGAATTTGTGCATTTTTGTTACAATCCAAGTATGTGAAATTTTAATTTACTATGGAATACAGAGGGTATAATACCATATATCAATAATGCCACATTAAAAATACATCTAAGATGCCACTAATTGTGAGAGGACTCATTTTACGTCTCACAAAGAAATTTTACCATTGAAATTATGACATGATTGTAAGACACATCCCAATTTCAGCTATGTTAAAATGTGCATCTGTGAAATACAGTATAATACTGTTCAGTCACCAACCAGTCTAAAAAGTAAAGCCAGTACAGTTGAAGTCACCTGTGTACCCCTGCTCCATCTTATGTACTCCCCCATCCTGAGTTTGGTTTTTATCATTTAGTTCTTTTATACTATTAGTAAATATGTATGTTACCCTAAGTATCATCTAATATCATAGTCTTTTTTTATATCACTGTTTCTTCAGTTAAGCTTTTCCTTTTTTTTTTTTCAGTTAAGCTTTCTAATGATTATTTTTAAACAGGACTTACAAAGACCTTGAAGAAGATAAACTCTTATAGTCCTTCATTTTATTTTATTTATTTATTTTTACCTTCAGTATTTTTTTTAACATTTTTTATTGATTTATAATCATTTTACAATTTGTGTCAAATTCCAGTGTTCAGCACAATTTTTCAGTCATTCATGGACATATACACACTCATTGTCACATTTTTTTCTCTGAGTTATAACATTTTGTGTGTATTTCCCTGTGATATACAGTGTAATCTTGTTTATCTATTCTACAATTTTGAAATCCCAGTCTATCCCTTCCCACCCTCCACCCCCATTATAGTCCTTCATTTTAAACAAGTTTTAGGGGCAAAATGTTTCCAAGTTACTTATTATCCATCCATTACTTAGTAAAATAAATTTTGCAACTTTTGGCCATGAAATATATCAGCTCAAGTTTCTGTGTTTCCTTCCTTCTGTTTTCTAATTCTTTCTATCTTTGCTGTCTATGGAGGAGGCCACAGAACTACTCACCTTCTCAAAGTGATCCCTCTGCAACCCACTGACTTTTGAAGAGATGATCTGTAGCTGGTGCTAGCTGTACACTGACAGGCTTCTCCCCCTGTGGCACATGCAGTGTGCCTATGGGACTGTTAGGGCTGTCTGGGCAAAGGAACAGGTGTTCCTGATGGTCCTCTGGGAAAATTCTAATTGACATAATGCCTTCTTATCAGTTCTTATAGCCAGGTGAACTGTGTAGCCTTAAAAATCAAGCTTGCTGTCTTAACTATGTCTTCCTAATGCTGTGTTGAAACTCAGATGAGAAGAAAAAAGCCTCTGTTGAGCTTCTAGAGTTATTTATATCAAATGAGCACCTTCTGGGCCTTATTCCACTCCCCCCTCAAACTGGGTTTCTGGTCAAAGAGAGTCATATTGAAGGGAAGGCGAAAATGTGCGTGACAGTGATTCTTAAAATGTTATAATCATACTTGGGACTTTATAAGGTTTCAATCACGATATTTTTAAGAACCTGTGACAATGCTAATTTCCCAAGAGAAAATATGCATCT